GAAACCTTGAAAGCTCGCGAGATCAGGATGGCTACCAAAATTCTCCCTAAAGTGTTTCTTGTTAGCTAATAATATAGTGTAACTTGCTATGTTATTACCTGGTTATTGATGTACTGTAAAAGAAAGCGTTAACTGAAACTTTAGATAAATGGGATCATCATCTGCGTAGAAGTTTATGCTGAACATTAACCTTTAAAGAAAAAGGAAAAAATATGTTTTCAGTGTCGTATATCAGTTTATCTCTGGGTTTCATGTTTAGCTGTGGATGTTTTTACTTCTTCCTGAAAGGTTCATTCATTTCTTCTTAAAGCTGATGAAGGAACCTGTTTTTTCCGGAGCTGCAGCTCAGGAAGGAAGGACTTAAATGTCGTTTTCATGTTCTCTAACCGATCTTCTGCTCCCTCACAGGAAAGTGAGGTTGATGGAGGACTGAACAACAGCAAAGAGCCAATGGACAAAGAGGAGGCCCTCAAAGCGTACCATGGACTGTGTGAGTCCAAGAAGTAAGTCCATGTCCTGCTGGAGACAAAGAACCTTTGCTGATATATTCCAGGCAGCAGAAACTAATGATCTGATCCTTGATGCTAAAGGTCAGAGTGATGGAAGGAGGTGCTAATGGCTCCTAATATCACCTTGGTTACAGCAGCTTTTGTCTCCGTCTGTCTTCTCCTGTCCGCTGCTCAGTCCTGCTTGTTTTTCTTCTCTGCTTAATAAAAACAGTCTGGGAGCCTTAATAGGAGTAAATAACCTCAGTGTTAAGAGATCTACTTTTATTATTTACCATCTTTAATTTCATTCCTTTAGGGCCCTGTCACACCTCGCCAAATTAGGCAGCGTATGCCTGACGTCCCAGAATACCCTAAAACGCTGGCATACACTGAACTTTCTATGGATTTTTTCAATTTTAGGCGCATAGATAGAGAATTTACGATGAATACAGAACTTATGTCCAACGACAGGATCATGTCTGCTAGGAAGGTCGCTGACCTTGGGCGTGAACGCAGGGAGGATCCATCACTCACCTTCTGGCTCGCCCTATGATGGGGATGAAGTCTGGAGGAGAACTGACGGTTTCCTCCTGTGAACCCCCTTTATACCAAAACGCTGCCAATACGCCATTATACAGTAGCTGGAAGTTAGAAACACGTTCAGCGCTCGTCTGGAACACGGCAGATACGCTGATATGCGTTGGAGAGAACTTCTTGATAAGTAACGCAGAAGTTACTAAAAATTATCTAGAAATGAGTAAAATATTCTTTAATGAAGTGTATTTACCCTTGATTTGAGCAGAATGTTATAGAGCTAAACTGTCACGTCTTGGTTGGTGATTGTGGACCCAAATGCAGAGGCAGGGAGGCAGAGGTGAGTTCTTGCAGATTTAATCAAAGGAAACAATTTAACAAACGCAGGAATCCAAAAATCCAACAAAAAATGTAAAGCAAACCAGAACCATGAAGACATCAGGGGAAACCAAACACAACAATGGAAAAACGATCTGGAAATAAGTAAAATTTTCTTAAATTAAATGTATTTACCCTTCATTTCAGTAGGTAAATGAGGTCGTTTGCCAATAGAATGACTATTTTTACTCCTAAAATAAGATAATTCGATAATATGCAGTTGAAATAAGACAATGCAATTGTTGTTTCTTATTTTAAATCATTGGCGAAACGTCTCTAATCTCCTCAATTCAATAACAAATGCACTTATTTTAAGAAAACATGAATTCTCTAGATTTAGATTTTTTATCCCTTTAGTCATGTCCCAAAAAACAGATCGCCATACGCTTCAAAAATATTAAAAAGTAAGTAATTAAATAGCTTTTTGTACGTGACTAAAGGGAAACACGCCCGTTTAGGGAGTTTGACGTTTTTTTTTCCATACAAAACTAAAGGGATAAACTGGTTTTGATTATGGGAATGCTGGTGTGACACATCAGGAGCCCCGTTGGTTAAATGTTCTGATCCGATCGGCTCTGCTTGGTTCTTTTCTAAAACGTCTGAGTTTGTTGCTGCATTAACTGCATGTTAGCATCTGTGCTGCTCTGCTTGTGTCCTCACTCTGCTCTGCCCTCCTATGTCTGTCCCCCCCCCCCACTGCTGCTGCTGCTAACTGCATGTTAGCATCTGTGCTGCTCTGCTTGTGTCCTCACTCTGCTCTGCCCTCCTGTGTCTGTCCCCCCCCCACTGCTGCTGCTGCTGGACACCAGTAACCTGCAGGACTGGTGTCTGCTGAACGAGGACGGGGAGCTGGGTCTGGCCTACCAGGGTCTGAAACAAGTAGCCAGGTCTCTGTGTGCTCCGTAGAGTAGAGATCTGCGTGGTGTGAAGAACCTCTGGGTCCGGTTCTGATGTCTGGGATGAAACCAGAACCTGAGCTGGTCCTGACCGGCTGTTTCTCCGGGTGTAACTGGCCTCTGTTCTCCACCAGGCTCCTGGAGGCCCAGCTGCAGACCCAGACCCGGCAGCACCGGGACGAGCTGGAGGCTCTGCACACTCAGATCGAGCTGCTGAAGGACGACATCGAGAAAAAGCAGGAGCTCCTCAACTACACCTCGTCTCTGTCCCCGGAGGCCAAGGTGGAGTACAGCGTCCAGCAGGAGATCACTCGGCTCACCAACGATAACCTGGTGAGGAACTCGGACCTGCTGAGACTCCAGAACCGCTTCCTGTGTCCACTTCCTCATCCTGAACACTCTGTCCACCTGTAGGACCTCAAGGAGCTGGTGGAGAAACTGGAAAAGAACGAGAGGAAGCTGAAGAAGCAGCTGAGGATCTACATGAAGAAGGTCCAGGAGCTGGCAGGTAGGAGGTTCCTCCAAACCAGAACCTTTTTCCTCTGGGTCTCTTTGGGTCTGATCACCGTTTAGGTTCTGCTGGACGTCCAGAAAGACGGATGTCGGTTCTACACCCGTTCTGGTGGATCAGTAGATGATTTCAGATCCTGACGTAGTTCCTGGTTCTGGTTCTGGTTCTGTTCCAGCTGCTCAGGCTGCGGCTCAGAGCGGCAGCAGCAAGGGGGAGCTGACCCGGCAGGTGACCCTGCAGAGGAAGGAGAAGGACTTTGAGGGGATGCTGGAGTACATGAAGGAGGACGAGGCGCTGCTCATCAAGACGCTCATCACAGGTGAGACCCTGACTGGACTTCCTGCTTCCGACTCCAACCAGGATCCAGTGATGTTTCAGAACCGCCTCGCAGTGGAACCGGACCCGTTTGTAGAGCTAAAAGCCGAACCGGAGGATCTTCTGACCTTCAGTTTTTTCGTCCCCAGACATCCGGCCCAGCTCGGTGGCGGCCACCGTCCCCTGCCTGCCCGCCTACATCCTCTTCATGTGTATCCGCCACGCCGACTACGTCAACGACGACCAGAAGGTGGAGTCTCTGCTCACCTCCACCATCAACGCCATCAAGAAGGTCCTGAAGGTGGGTTCTGTTCCCCCCGCCTCCCGTCTAACGGAGGCTGAGGCCGGTTGTTCTTATAGACGATTGACAGGCGTAGCTCCCTTTAATTGACGTTGCTTTCAATGCCTAAAGAGTGAAACTACAAACAAAGATAAAAAAAACATGATTTAGAATCCAACAGTAGTCAAATCATTAAAATAGTGAGGGCAAAAATACTTAATACTGTGTAAAAAACATGTCAAAATCAGCCTTTTACAACATAAATGCCAACAAATGTAGCTCAGTCTTGTGTCAGATGTAATAAAATAACACAAAATACTCACCAGCAGGGTGTTTCTGAACTCACTCTACTGTTCAATAACAAACTTAACATGAAAACAGCACCACCTGCTGGCTGGAAAGAGCTACTGTCAGCACACACTAACGATGTTCTGCCGGTTCCGCAGAGAAACAACGACGACTTTGAGATGATGTCCTTCTGGTTGGCCAACAGCAGCCGGCTGCTGCACTGCCTGAAGCAGTACAGCGGGGAGGAGGTGAGCTCCACCGCCTGAGGAACATCTGGAACATCTGCCTCCCCCCACGCCTCTCTGAGCTCCTCTCTGCTCCTCTTCCTCAGGCCTTCATGACCCAGAACACGCCCAAACAGAACGAGCACTGCCTGAAGAACTTCGACCTGGCCGAGTACCGGCAGGTTCTGAGCGACCTCTCCATCCAGATCTACCAGCAGCTCATCAAGGTGGCCGAGGGCATCATCCAGCCCATGATCGGTGAGTTCCTCCTGTTCTCCATCAAAACATCCGGATCTGGGTGGTTCTGACCAGAACCAGATCATCCTGAGTCCAGATCAGGTTTACCTTCATTCCAACAGATGCTGATGAGGGGAGACCAGCAGGGGGCGATGTGGAGTCTCTGTGGTTCATGATCATAACATCCCTCAGAATCTCGTGATCCTGATCAATCTGCTGAAACACAATATTTAAATTATTTAAAAACAGTAGCTAGATGTCATCAGCATGAAGATGATTTTATGGATTTTATAAAGAAAGTGGATAATAGCAGGACTGGGCCCAGAACTGAATGCCATGCAGAGGAAAACCAGAAGATCTGAAAGATAAAAAGGAACAAACTGGTTGTCGAGGGAGAAGCAGCAGAGCTGTTCACACCAGACACGCTTTGGGCAGCAGAAGCAGCCGCTTTACATGCAAAGTCAACGATTTACGAGCATCAAGGCGCATCCAAAGGTCTAGAGCAGCTGAAGCTGCGCCTGATGAACTTCTTAGCATCTTCAGAATCCAGCTCTGCAGGACTTTGCTGTAACATTTGCATGAAAAAGTTCCAACTTCTACTATAAAGCATAGATCTAGGTGCTAGCTGCAGCTCTCTGTTCCCTTCTGTGCGACAGCACGCCCACTTAAATCGTATTACTGTCACCTAAGGGAGAAATTAATTGTCTTGTTAAATGTATTGTGACTAAAATTGAGAACCTCTAAGATTTGAATTGCACACGCAATTAATTGCCCAGCCTTTAAGAGCGCCATGCTAGCCTGAGCTAACTCAGAGAAGCTGAAGCTAGCTAAGTTTCACCATGAATAATACGGAACATCGAGTCAATAAGAATCAGTAATTTTCCTCCTGAGGGTCAATAACTTGTACAGCAGCCCCAACAGACTATAACAAAACGATGAGGAGGAAAACCAAGGCTAGGAGGCACCTGCAGCAACAGATGGGGGAGGGGAAGCATTGATTTACTGTATGCTGTACAAACCTAAGAAAACCTCTGACTCTTTATTTGATACTCAGCAAACTTGAAGTGTTCTGATTGTTTCTCTCAGCGTTCTTTAAACGCCGACTTTTAGCTAGCAATGCGTACCGGCGCACATCGTACGCTCTTTACTATAAATATTAGAGATGGTACGCCCTGTTTTTTGGATGTGCGGCTTTGGTACGCCCTAATTTTCCCCCGGAAACTTTGCTAATAGGTAAAAAGATTTCACAAGCAGCAGATGCTGGAGAAAAATTTTATTTTTGCTGCTGGACGCACCGCATCAACCAATCAGAGAAGCTGATCTGGGAGCTGGCCGGGAGTCAGACGCAGCAC